GACCCAAAAAAAAAATTAATGCGTAAATATATTTTGTTGGTTTTATCAGAAACTACAGAACCTAAGGTTTGGAAATCTTGCAAATATTTTAAGGTTGTAAAGAGCATAATAAATTTTTAGTAAAAACATATTTGGTTATCTTCTTCAAAAAACTGATGACGTCAGCCCAAAAGTTTGCCAAATAAATTCTATCTAGAATATACAAAATATGATGAGTCTGTACTTGTAATTCATCATTCCATTCATATTTATTGAATTTGCATATACCGGGTGACTCAAAAAAATAATGAATGCGTAAATTTATTTTATTGGTTTACTCAGGAACTACAAAACCGAATGCTTTGAAATCTACTGCGAAAAAAAAACATAATCGACATGCAGTCGTCACGGTTCCGACAGCGAGGGAAGTACTGTCTAAACTCTTTAGACCAATTTTTTTTCTAGTCGTTTTGGATGAACTGAAAATCTCTCTTACTTTATTTATCCTAACATGTGGGTATGGGAACACCATAGATTCCGCATTTTTGCTATAGCTTTTACCTAAAACTAAGTGGCTAAGGCAGTATCCTGCGGGGTTCTTATCCAGGAAGTAGACTAGCATTGCTTGGTTCAATTATCAAGTGCGCTGTGTTGCAACAAAATGGAATCCTTTGGTCATTACTAGAGCTGTGCGGTCGAAATTTATTTATCCCCGCTACCCGTCCACAGTGCAGGAGGCTATAGCCTTGCTTTATTCTCTTCTCGCTTCCCAATTGTGCATTATTTTTGATAATGTACACAAATAGTTTTATTTTCAATGAGACCGACACTTGAAAATTTATTAAAGCTATTATTATTACTATTTCGTAGATGTGGATTTCGAAATCATCAACTAACGTTCACTTCACATTAGTTTTCTCACAATTTTCTTCGCGATAAGTAACATCGGCTACAAGCCACTGGTCGGCCGTAGTGGGAGGGAATACGGAGCATTTAAATTTCAACCGCCTGGCCCTAGCCATTACTTACATCCTCTATGTCTAAAACTACCACTACATTATATTACAATTTTTTGGGCGATTTATGATATATGGAGGTGTCTTTATTTCATTGTCTATCTTAAAATCAATTTCAATTGATCTGTCACATGACATTACTTCATTTGTAGGTCACCCTTGTTATTCTTTGAAGAGAAAAATAAACCCCGTTTTCAATACCGCCCTACATCTGTGAAGTGTATAGATTATTTTAGTGCATAATTCATTAAGAAGAATCGATAATTTTATTCAAAGAAGCAATGTCTTTATTAAAGGTATTTAAACCAATAAAAAATTAAATAACGTATTTATGAAAGCCGATACAAGAAGTACTTTGTAATTATAATCCATCGCATTTTCACAATGCTTTGATAAAAAATTTATAATGCATCAACCTCCACAATAACTTAGAAATAAAATTTCATTGGGAAATGATTATATAAGAGTAAATGGACGACCAGTTCCCACTTTATTCCTGCGTTTTGTTGTGAAAGTATATACCGATATGGCGAACATAATAGAGAAAAGTTTCAGTTTGAATTTAAAGGTGCTGCACACCATGGGATTATATTCGTTGGGCGACAGTTCGGTGGGTTTGAAATCCTGCACTTTGTACTTTATTTTTTTAGTGCTCGCTGTAATATTATCTTTCATCAATTTTCTAATGGATAATCGCACAGATGATGCAGTAGAAAACGCCATGGTAGTATATTTAGTAGAAGCTGTTTGCTACTGTTTTAAATTTATGCCATTTCTTTACAATCCTAAAAAAATTCAAGAGTGTATCAATTTTTTTGGAGACGACAATTTTGCACCAAAAACGGATCATGAAAGAAAAATTATAGACGAATGTGTTTGGGTATGTCGCAGAAATTCATTAGTTTATTTTTGTGGTATTCTGGTAGCTCTTACTGGTTGGCATTTTCCTGTGTTCTTTGTCAAAGGGCGTAAACTTTCTCTAGATATCTGGTTACCATACGATCCCCTATCCACAGCTTTCAGATACTATTTTACTCAAATTTATATTTTTGGAGGTGATAACAAATATCATGTAGGTAGTGCATAAGATTAACATTTCCGTTTGCAGCTACTTTTTATATCGGTTTTTGTGGAACTACAATTGATTCACTGGTGGGTGGTTTGCCGTATCATGCTACAGCTCAGTTAAAGATTCTAAAATATAATTTACAACACATGGACAAATTCGCAGATTATACTTTAAGAAAACGTAACGAATATATTGTAGAATACCGCTGTGTGTATAAACATTTGCAATACAGTATCGACCATCACAACAAAATTTTGCGGTAAAAATTTATGTTAAATTAAATCTAAATTAAATTTAATCAGCACTTCTCGAACTTTGATATTATTCTACAATAAATTTACAGGTTTTTAAATGAATTCGAAGAATGTTTCAGTGTGTGCATATTCAGCCAATTTGCGGGAAGCCTCTTTGGTATATGTTTTTGTTGTATAGGCTTGACACTTGTAAGTTGATGTGTTAATTTTATTTAATAACTGATTTTGTTTAGGTTTCAGTAGCCACAGTTGAAGGATTTACCTATATTGCATTAATTGTTGACATTACTTTTCAAATATTTTTTTATTGTTATTATGGTACATTACTATATGAGGAAGTAAGAAGTTGGTCAAACGGTACGTTCCAAAGAATTTTAAGTTTTGTGTTTTTAGAGTAATAATTTAAACACCGCTATTTATATGGGACCGTGGTACGAATCTGACATTAAAACTCGAACAATTTTATTAACTATAATGGAACGAGCTAAACGACCAATGCTTATCACAGTCGGGAACATAGTAGATCTGACCCTTGTATGTTTACTATCGGTAAATTTTATACATAATACTGAATATGAATGTTCATTATAATCACTGTTCTTTTAGGTTTTGAAAACCAGTTATTCGTTAATTGCTGTTCTAAATACTTATGAATAGAAAAATGACGAAAGTGTTAATTAAACCTAGTAATAATTTTTGAAATCAAATTAAATATGTCTCAACTTTTGCATTATTTGCTAAAATTTTAAACTTGAAATATTAAAATAAATGTTTAGTTTTGCAAATCGACCTGAATTTGATTTTAATTTTTAAATTAGCTTAACTAATTAATTCAGTTAATTCTATTGATAAAAAGTGGGTCCAAATAAAATAAACTAAACGTCTACCCTTTTGGATAAAAAACAGTTACATATACATTTTTCGGTAAAAATTTCAAAAATTAATTCGTATATAAATTTTGTCAAAATTGTTACAAACCATCAATAATATCTTCCTTAAAACTATATTTTTTAATGTAGAACAACAGTTACAGATCTAAGCTAGCTGTTCAATTTTAAGTATCTCATTCGCACATATATTATTTGGTCATAGGGATATACTTGTAAATATTTTTATGATAGCTCCTATTAGGTAAAATAGAAATTTGTATGGAATGTAAGAGTGCGGCGTTCAAAATTTAAAAAGTACAGCGTTCAGAATTTACACAAGATGCTTTTATAAAATAATCCCTTTGTCGGTTATGACGTGCGGCATTCGACGTGTTTAAATAATGTTCGAAAAATAAAAACAAAAATATCACTTAAAGTGTTTTCGAGAACTGATTCGTGTATTAGTCCACAAATTTTTACTTCCCGAGCGTAAAACAGGATCCACCCTACAGGACGAAAAAGTGGTTCTTCCCTTTTCTTCTTCTGCCTGTATCGATTTTGATTAGACAAATTATCGTCAAATCGTTTGTTTCGGTTTATAGTTATTTTAAAATAAATTTACAGATTTTTAAATGAATATGAAGAATGTTTCTCTCGGAGCATATTCTGTCAATTTATAGGAAGCCTCTTTGATATATGTTTTTGTTGTATAGGGTTCACATTGGTAAGCTGATGCGTAAATTTTATTTGAAAACTTATTTTTTTTTTTTAGGTTCCATTAGGCACTGTCGAAGTATTTACCTACGTATCATTAATTTTTGATATAAGTATTCAAATATTATTTTATTGCTATTACGGTACATTACTATACATATGAGGAAGCAAGAAGTTGGAAAAAAGTACGTTTCAAACAATCTTCAGTTTTTTGTTTTTAGAGTAACGCAAGGCCGACTGAATTCATGCGATTTAAACAGCGCCATCTAAATGGGATCGTGGTACAAATGTGATATTAAAATCCAGAAACTTTTACTAATCATAATGGAATGAGCTAAACGACCAATGCTTATCACAATCGGGAAAGTTGTACATCTAACACTTGGAAGTTTTCTATTGGTAAATTTTTTGCATTATGGTGAAAATGAATTTTCAACTTAATCGTTGTTGTTTTAGGTTTTGAAAACCAGTTATTCGTTAATTGCTGTTCTAAACACTTATGAATAAGAAAGTGACGAAGATGTAAATTAAACTTAATAAAAAATTTTAAAATAAATATATATATATATATAACCGGTTCCTCTTCTACCGTTACGTGTTGAGGGATAGATGTCCATTACTTCCTGATGAGTTCTCTCCACTGTTTTCTATTGAGTACCGTTTGTTTCGCTTCAGGCCAGGTAATTTGTCTTCGTTATAGTGCTTCAGTAATCACGTCATTTCAACGTTTACGTGGCCTTCCTTTTCTTACTTTACCATATTCTCTAGCTTCCCAAATTTTCTTGACTTGTCTATCTTGGTTCAATCTGTTTAAGTGTTTAAACCATCTTAGTTTTGATCTTTCAATTACACTGTTAGCGCTCTCTACATTGACATTATTCCTAATTGTCTCATTCTTGATTTTGTCCATTATTGTTACTCCTTCTATTCTGCGTAGATACTTCATCTCAACTGTCTGTATTTTATGTTTTTGTCTTTCAGTAAGGGTCCATGTCTCACATCCGTACAGGAGTGTAGGGAGGTATACCGTCTTGTAAATAGTTATTTTTGTCTTCTTACTGCCTTCTTTCTTATTATTAAAACCTTTTTTCAAGGAATGCTATAGTTTTGTTGTTTTCGCAATTCTACTGTCTAGTTCTTTTTGTAGTTTTCCATCTTCATCTATCTTGACTCCTAAATACTCAAATTCTTTTACTTGTTCCACTTTATTTCCATTCAGAGGTAAGTTAATTTCTTTAGGAGAATTGGATATGACTAGGGCTTTTGTTTTGTCAAGATTGATTGTCATTCCGTTAACCGATAGTTCTCTGGCCCAAATGTTTAGATTGGTTTGAAGTGCTTGCTCGGAGCTCGCTATTAGTGCAATGTCATCTGCAAATATGCATTCACTCACTTTAATGCTTCTTAATCGATGGTAGCCAGCTTCTGTTCTTTGGGATTGTGCACTACATTTATTAATGATGCCATTCATGAATATCAAGATCATTAGTGGACTCAGCACCCCCCCCCCCCCTTGTCTCACTCCCTGGGTTGATTTGTAAGTGGATTTGATTGCTTCAATTAGTCCGGGTTCAACTTCAGATATTCTTAATGTTTCCCAAATACATTTCCTGGGGACTTTATCGAAGGCCTTTTCCATATCTATAAAACATATGTACAGCTCTCTATGTGGTTCAGGAACTTTTCGGCAATTTAATGGTGAAGATATATATATATATATATATATAACCGGTTCCTCTTCTACCGTTAGGTGTTGAGGGATAGATGTCCATTACTTCCTGATGAGTTCTCTCCACTGTTTTCTATTGAGTGCCGTTTGTTTCGCTTCAGGCCAGGTAATTCCTCTTCGTTGTAGTGCTTCAGAAATCACGTCATTCCAACGTTTACGTGGCCTTCCTTTTCTTACTTTACCATATTCTCTAGCTTCCCAAATTTTCTTGACTTGTCTATCTTGGTTCATCCTGTTTAAGTGTCCAAACCATCTTAGTTGTGATCTTTCAATTACACTGTTGGCGCTCTCTACATTGAGATTATTCCTAATTGTCTCATTCTTGATTTTGTCCATTATTGTTACTCCGTGTACTCTGCGTAGATACTTCATCTCAACTGTCTGTATTTTATGTCTTTGTTTTTCAGTAGGGGTCCGTGTCTCACATCCGTACAGGAGTGTAGGGAGGTATACCGTCTTGTAAATAGTTATTTTTGTCTTCTTACTGACTTCTTTCTTATTAATAAAACCTTTTTTCAAGGAATGGTATAGTTTTGTTGTTTTCGCAATTCTACTGTCTAGTTCTTTTTGTAGTTTTCCTTCTTCATCTATCTTGACTCATAAATACTCATATTCTTTTACTTGCTCCACTTTATTTCCATTCAGAAGTATGTTAATTTCTTTAGGAGAATTGGATATGACTAGGGCTTTTGTTTTGTCAAGATTGATTGTCATTCCGTTAACCGATAGTTCTCTGGCCCAAATGTTTAGATTGGTTTGAAGTGCTTGCTCGGAGCTCGCTATTAGTGCAATGTCATCTGCAAATATACATTCACTCACTTTAATGCTTCTTAATCGATGGTAACCAGCTTCTGTTCTTTGGGATTGTGCACTACATTTATTTATGATGCCATTCATGAATATCAAGAACAATAGTGGACTCAGCACCCCCCCTTGTCTTAGTCCCTGGGTTGTTCCAAATCTTGGGGATTCACAATTAAGTGCTCTCACTATGTTCCAGCTTGATTTGTAAGTGGATTTGATTGCTTCAATTAGTCCGGGTTCGACTTCAGATATTCTTAATGCTCGGAATCCACTCTGCGCATCGTGCAGACTATTTTCTATCGAGTCTCTTAGTTTCTTTTCTAGTAAAATCTCATATACTTTCCCTGGTACGCTTAGTATCGAAATTCCTCTATAGTTCGAACACCTCTTTCTGTCTCCTTTCTTAAATATAGGGGTGATCACTGCAGTTGACCAGTCTTCAGGTATTCGTTTTTGTTTCCAAGCCTCATTCATTATATTACAAAAGTATTTAATCGCTGATAGTCCCATATACTTCAGCTTAATGGTGAAGATATGGTCCTGTACACTATGTCCGGGTCGGAATCCACTCTGCGCATCGTGCAGACTATTTTCTATCGAGTTTCTTAGTTTCTCTTCTAGTAAACTCTCATATACTTTCCCTGGTCCGCTTAGTATCGAAATTCCCCTATAGTTCGAACAGCTCTTTCTGTCTCCTTTCTTAAATATAGGGGTGATCACTGCAGTTGACCTGTCTTCAGGTATTCGTTTTTGTTTCCAAGCCTCATTCATTATATTTCAAAAGTATTTGATCGCTGATGGTCCCATATACTTCAGCCATTCCGCTTTAATCTCATCAATGCCTGCTGCTTTCCCGTTTTTCAGTTTTCTAATGGCTGCAGTTACATCTTGTATCGAAATGTCTTCGTCTCTGATTGTTGTGTAGTTGTTTCGATGATCATTTGGTGTTTCTTCTGATTCATGTGCTTCTAAAAGTTCTGAGAAGTATTCTCCCCACCTATCAGGAATATCAGCTGGTTCCGTAAGCAACTCCCCATTTCCGTTCATTATCTGTCCTAGGAAACCTCCTGATTTTCCTCTCATTCTCTTCAGAACGCCGGAGAACTCATTCAAATCAAACTAATTTCTACGTGACATTTTTCCGATGCATAAACATAAACACTTTCAAGTTGTTTTTCTTATCGAGGATAACCGAAGAACGTACAGTAATGGAGTACATTGGGCAATTTATTTATTTCAAATTTTCTCGACATTTCATAACCCCTAGACAAGGCCGTAGGTAGTGGGAGGCTGGGGGATGATCCCCTAGATCTAGACAAGCTATAATTAACCAAATGTGAATTACAGCATCCGAAAACCGAATAAGTAGTGTTTTATTTAATAAACGGAAGTCAGAGCAATAAAAAAAATCTGGTCTGTCGGCATTGTCATCCAGTTATTTCAATTCGTGGAAAACATGTTTTAGTTTAGTTTGTGTTTCACTGTCACGTCTACAGGTTGATAAGTGTTACGACTATTTGTCTTAAATTACAAGAACTATACAAGGTGTTGCTTTTATCTGTTTGCATAGGCGAGATATTATACACCCCAGAGACGACTTCGTTTTTAATAAGCAATCATAGCAATTACAAAAAAAAATGAAAAAGATGTCAATGCCAAATAATGATAAATTTGAAAAAAATTAATACTCAATTTATTTTAAAATGCCCCGCTACAAAAATGTAATACGAAGAAAAACATAATAGGCATGCAGTCGTCACGTTTCCGACAGCGAGGGAAGTACTGTCTAAACTCTTTAGACCATTTTTTTTACAGAAGCTGTATTTATTCGATTGTACTTTTAAGGCAAGGAGAGTTTTGTCTAAATAATAATCATACATTTTTCTATACACGAAAATCTTGGTTTTTCTAGTCGTTTTGGATGAACTGAAAATCTCTCCTACTTTATTTATCCTAACATGTGGGTATGGGAACACCATAGATTCCGCATTTTGCTATAGGTTTTACCTAAAACTAAGTGGCTAAGGCAGTATCCGGCGGGGTTCTTATCCAGGAAGTAGACTAGCATTGCTTGGTTCAATTATCAAGTGCGCTGTGTTGCAACAAAATGGAATCCTTTGGTCATTACTAACATCCTCTATGTCTAAAACTACCACTACATTATATTACAATTTTTTGGTCGATTTATGATATATGGAGGTGTCTTTATTTCATTGTCTATCTTAATAGTATATTAAAGAACGAGTTTCATAAGACAAATATTGAGGCACGAATCCAAGTTTATAGAACGAGCGGCGAAGCCGCGAGTTATATAAAGGATGAGTGCCTCAATGGCCTTATGAACGAGTTATTTATACTATTTTTTCTACCGTACACGTTTTTTCCCAAAATTTAATTGAAATTTGCATTTTTTTTAATCTGGGGACTTTTGTCGTGGTTGGTGATGGGTTGGTCTGACACTAGCCACGAAATATTTGAGGTTCGAATTTTCACAACAACATCTGTAATTCCAATCAATTCGAGTTTTTGTAATTTAAAATTGGTTAAAACGTCTTGCGAAGAAGTTACGCGTCCGGAAATATGGGAAATTTTAAGTTTACATTTGCCACTGACATTCACCTGACATTTCTCGTCATGGCTACCAATCTTACCGATCTAAATTACACCTGATCTATTAAAGAACGCCTTTCCGCTATTAACGAAGTGCTGTGACGTCATTTGCGTGCGTTAATAGCTCTATTAGAAAACCAAAAAACGTGGGCGGTAGAAAAAATCAATTTCAATTGATCTGTCACATGACTAAGGAGATGCAGTTTTAGGCCAGGCGCCTCCCACCACTTTCCGTCAGCAGCGTCCGTTGTTATTGCTTCGCTTCGCCCGTCGGTGCATGTTCGGTCATTTTAATATTGGTGATTGGGATAGCAGGCATCGCAGTTGAAGGGTTTGATTCACCAATACGTGAGGGTTTGGCAGTCTTTACGCTTTAGTTATACATTATTTTTGGTTAATTTGGCGCAAACCCCGATTTACACATTTTACAAAAAATTGCATCACAGGATGTCGATACACAACATGAACAATTTATGGAATACTTCGATCATCCTCCCGTAAGTAGCGTAGACGTGGAGAGATCGTTTTCGTTATTTAAAGATGTATTGACTCCTAAAAAACTACTTTCACTCATGAAAATTTAAAAATAATGGTAATTCTTTACGCAAATAATTCTCTTCTTTTGGACGCGGTTCCATGAACACGGACAGGTTTTTGCTGTTGCAGCTATTATAAAATAATCTACGTCTCATCCGTGTATTGCTACGTGCAGCCGATGGTTATTAATTATTATATATATATATATACGTACTAGACGGAAGAAACGAAGCCCAGTACATAATGCAGGCACTCAGAAGCCCGGTCTTAAAATTAACCACTAAATAATAATAAACACATAATGTTATTGTAAACGATAATAACTCTTGGCGCACACCCAGAGGGGTAGCCTTTTTTGAAATATATTTTATGCAGAATAGATGTATACCACGCACCTAACGGAGCCCAGTATATACTGCGGATTTTATAAGCCCCTTTGTATAAAATGTTTATGGTATATCGCATATATGAAGCCCGTCCAGTGTTGTCAGCTTAAAAATTGCTTGCACGTAAATGACATCACTTTTGCTTTGACTGGGTGGTAAAAGTAATCTTTAATATGCGGCGTGCTAAGTTTTTAGTGGAACTGGCTAGAAAAAGTAAAATTGGTAAGTATAATAGTTTTCAGTATAAATAGTTAATATATCACGACAGTTTGTTACGTGATTATTACCTGTCCTCAATGTATTGAAGCATTATAACCTCACCAAAGAAATATTGGCGCCAAACTAGAGTTGTGCAATTAAAATAATAATTAATTACCTAAAATAAATTATTTATGCTTTAGTTCTATGATAAAAAAATGCTGTTAAAAATTAAGTAATGGTTTTTGTCATGTAATTTATAATAATTAGTGGAGAAAAGTTTACTTGAGGTCTTGAGGTGGCGTTTCATTAAGTCAAAATACGGTAATTAATTGCACACAAATTTTTTAGTACAATCGGCTTAACTAACTTATT